TCATGCCTAAGGCGGAACTAGAACTCACTATCTCCTGGTGATTGGTCAAAAGTCACCCAGCAAGCTTTCATGCCTAATGCAGGACTAGAACTTACCATCTCCTGGTGACTGGCCCAAAGTCACCCAGCAAGCTTTCATGCCTAACTCAGGACTAGAACTCACCAACACCTGGTTTCTAGTCTAGTACCTGATAGTTATGTTTTTCCTATTTCTTGGATTTCGTGATTTTTTTTTTCCAGCAAGACTTACTGGGGGGAGAACAGTCAACCACCTCAATGGCCATTTCTTAATATATATATTTTTCAGGAGAAGTTAGCTTACCACCAGAACAGCAGCCAAGCGCTTCCCCCTGGACTTTATCTGGGATACCTGAAGCTCTGCAGCGCAGTTGACCAGATCCGAGTGTTGGTGCCTGAACAATTGCCTAACATCTTGTGTCATGTGAAAATACGGAGCAATTCCAACGTATCTAGGTAGGATTTTCCAATGAGAACTGATCTTTCCTGGCAACTTTTGCAAACTGCAGTTCTACAACTGTAGCCAGATTAGGGTCAGATGAGTTGGGGTTTTTTTTGCAGGTTCATCTCCTGATTAAAAAAAAAAATTGTAATTGGAGGAGAGAGACCTAAGACAAAGTTATGGAAACTGGGCTGACAGTTTTCCTGCAGATTTGACTGGAAAGATTAAAAACAGATATAGCCAGGTTATGAAGTGTATTATGAAATGCAAAATATAGTCTTTTATTTATGACCATGATGGAGCCTGGCCATCAGGGTTGTAAGTCATGAGTGTTGTAAATCAGTCTTATTCACATGACTAACTTGATTTTACAACATTTTTGGAGGTGGTTGTTAAACGAACGGAGCAGTCGTAAACCAAAACCAGTGATTTGTTATGGGCTTCCACACAACCACTGTAAAACACAGTCACATGAAATCAGGATGCTGCCAGCAACCATAAATGCAGTCAAGTTGCCAAGTGCCTAAAGTTTGGTCATGTGACCACGGGTGTCCGGTGCAAATAACCAGGAGCCTTCACTGAGTTCAAAGCACAGGAAAGTTTATTATTGCTAAGAGTCGTGGTGGCGCAGTGGTTAGAATGTAGTACTGCAGATTACTTTTGCTGACTGCCGGTTGCCATCAGTTCAGCAGTTCAATTTTCATCAATTGAACTCAGCCTTCCCCTCTTCCTAGGTTGACTCAGCCTTCCACCTTTCTGAGGTCGGTAAAATGAGGATCCAGATAGGGAGCAATAGGCTGACTTTGTAAACTGCTTAGAGAGGGCTATAAAGCACTGTGAAGTGGTATATAAATCTAAGTGCTATTACTCTACACAAGAATCTGGTCAATTAAAGGTCAAATCTAAACTGGCACTAGATAAAGGTCAATGGAATTCATAGGGGGCTGGACTTGGGGTTCTTGTGGCAATGCAATAATTCCAAACTGATGACATGCTTAATCCCACCTTCCAGTTTAACCTGCTCATCTCCTATATTGGCGGGGTGTGTGTGTGTGTGTGTGGCAACTGTCAGAACTTTGAATTTGGATCTTAAGCATTTAAGTGACTGGTTATAAGTCAAGGATGACCTGTATAAAACAAATGCAATAGAATATCAATTGCACTAGTTAATCAAAAGGTTACGGTCTGACGTATGAAAGTACCAACACTAAGAAAGCCCATGGTTTGTATCAAATTGGATATGGAGATATTTACTTTGCTGATTTCTCCTCTGCGTTTATCCATTCTCCCACATTCAAGAGAGGAATGGGAATGGCTGCAGAACCTGGCTAGCATGGAAGAGCCCATTCCCTCCAAGCAAGAACTGGAAACTTCCCAGCAGCTTTTTCTTCAGGAGCTCCAAGGGGCCATCCGAGAGTTGATGCAACTGGTCAACATCCCACTTCACGAGGTAGATCCTAGGTGGGAACCACGTGACGGGGGTGGGAGGGAGAAACAAAGAGTGTGGGATTTTATAGCATGCCTGACCTGCTCCCGCCTTATTCTGACGATCCATGACAATGAAGTTTAGGCAAAGATTCTTCTGAAGTTGCAGCCAGGAAACCAAGGTTGAACCCAAATGGATATCTTTGCAGTTTGGATGCAGATTCTTTTCAAAGCCACAGTACGACCATTCTCGCATAAGTCAATTTTGTTGATGCCTCGTTGATAGAAATGGCCTGATTTGGGGGCATTTAACAATAATCCAATTAACTCATATATAAAAAGGGTGTAAATTGTTGTCATGGGAATAATAACCCACTTGTAACTCTCTCCTTGAGATCTTCACATGAGAGAGGTAAATCAAATAAATAAGTATGTGTTCTGACCAAGGCTTATTGAGATACTAACAAACACACGTTAGTCCCCAAACCCTTTTTTCTTTACTTCAACGGCTGTGAATTTTAGTCATTCACAGCCTGTAATCAGTCTCAAACAGTTTGTAAATAGTCCCATGGAAGTCTGCCAAAGTCCTTCAGGATAAGTCTGATAAGCACGCACCTTTATCTGCCTTGAAATGCTGCCAACGACTAAATTTCCAATTAGTAATTCAAGTCCAACCGGAGCACAAATTCAACACAGAGCATCAGGTTTCAAACTGACCAGTACAAACAAAGTTGCTTCCTGCAAAGGTTCCTGTCCCTTTGCTCCTCCTTTATGTCTTATGGGAGGGGTCAGTCACCTCCCAGCCTTACTCCCGAGTCGCCCCTTTTGTCTTAACTGTCCTTGCCTTCTGGCGGCTCTGCGCAAGCGCGTACTGGGAACAGGCTCCCTGTGTTCTAATCCAGATCCATATCCTTTGACTATTTGTCAGGCTCAAAATCCACAAGACATATCGTTGGAGGGGATTTGATTTGATTTAAAAAAAATATTAAACGGCCCTAAACTGTCATAATACTTGAGTCTTCTTCAATCCAATTAATTCAGGGGGAATTTGAATAATCCTTGGAACTGGCCATCAAAATATTAGCTTCTGCTTGTAGGTCAATGCTCAAATTCCTCTGCTTCCTACCTCAAGCTGTGGATTTTAATTCTATAATTATTCATATTATTATTCATATTAATATATTATATTATTCATCAGAATCCAATGAGAAGTCTGTGTGACAAGGGGAAACAAAGCTTCTTTCTAAGGCATTCTGGTCATTATAAACCATCTCAATAATAAGCCGCCCAAAAGAGCGGACAACGGTGATTTTGGCAGTTGCTTGAATGGATGGGAATTAAATGGGGTAAAGCCATCTGATTCAGTTTACAAGTCTTCATTTTTCAAGCTAGTTTTTTTTTTAATGTAAAAAGATCTTTATGGATCCTCTTTCCTCCACCACCATTGGTTAACAGATTAAACAGGGGCGCAGGAGGTTCAGATTCAGGCCTTCACTTGACCATATGTTATCAAGTAACTTTGGGCCAAAATTATCATGTCATAGAATGGTTGTGTGATGGGAGATCCCTCGTGTGCATCTTTTTAAACGTTCAAAGAAGAGGGAGAATATGAGTGCAATAAAAAACAAATACGGCAATTGTGAAATGTGTAAGTGCTCCAATGAGAAGTCCCCTCTCCGTTTCTTTGCAGAGTCCATACCTCTTCAGCTAGAATGTCAATTACAATGAAAGACTTCACACCAATAAAACATTTTCTGTGTTTGAATTCTACAGGCCAAAGATTTCCGCCTCTACAGTCAGGAAGTTCTGGACTTTGGACGGCAGGTCTCCTTTCTGTTACTTCTTCCCCCTTCAGATGATGTGTGTACTGCTCCTGGCCAGAATAATCCTTACACCCCTCGGTCCGGTTTCCTCACCCTTCCTCTTCAGATCTTCGAGCTAGGTGAGCAACAGTGCACAGAGAACTTCATTCCTTATCCTTGGAATGGGAGAACTTTCTGTCAGGGTTCCGGCGATTGCCCCAATTAAATCATGAGCCTTGAAGCAAGCTTCAAAAGAATCCGGAAGATTTATTAGGAGCGACATGTTGGCATTATCCCAGTTGAAGCCAACTCTGACACTGACCGTAATTCACAGTCACCTGTGACCCTGTTTCCTCCCTCCTCCTTGGGTGTGTCATACATGAGATTCTCCAGCAAAGCATGTTCAACAGGCTGGGTGTTATCAATCACACTTTCCAATGAAGGATTTTCACGGGCAGAAGATCCAGTAGCTGTGATGACCCAGGGTAGGATACAAAAGCAAAAAGTCACAAAAACAGGTGAAGTCCCTTTAATTCCTTCAACTTGGCTTTAAAGGTCCAATTATCATTGACTGGAGAAAAAATTCCCCCACAAACAGTTGTGAAAAGGAAGAACTTCCATTCAAACTCAAAATACATATAAATTATAAATAGAAAAAAAAACACGAACCACACTGAAAGCAATTAATGAGACAAGGCAGGATAAGGGCCTGAAGACATCAACAGACATCTAAATACACACACTGGGAGGGATGCCAGAACTCATATAAGAACTGACAGACTACAAATATTTTCACGCTTTGCTTCCAGCACTGGCCCATGCTCAGTTTGTCCTTTTAAACAGTCCTCACAGCTGCAGCCCATGAAGGGGATCAAGGCCCTTTCCTCCCCTGTAGACCACGCCATTCACATTTCTCCCTTATTCACTCCTCCCTGCATGCTCTAGGATGAAGAGGGGATGGGCCTCTGCCTGTGCCCTTCCCCAGTTTCCTCCACAACCTCCAAAGCCACACTCCCACTCCCTGTCGGCTGTTCCTCCTCTCCCTCGGAATCAGATTCTAACAGGGGCGTGACAATAGCCTAGGTACAATCTTTGTAAGATAAGCATGGAATGTACTTCTGGTTTCCCCCCCTCCCACTTATGGCAACTCAGAAACAGGTATGCTTTACCAGTTGACACTCGCTATGGCCAACTCACCACAGTCGTTTTGCTGTGGCCATCTCACCAAAACCTTCTCACCGCAAGACAGCTTGTCATGGCCAATGCACCACAGGACAATTTACCACAGGGACAGTTCCATGCAGGATAACTCAACACAATCAATGTTATCTGCCACTGTTTCCTTGACATTATTTGCACTGACAAACATGGAAACAATGTCGAAGAAACAGTGGGGGATAACACTGATTGCATTGAGTTATCCTGCGTGGAATTGTCCATGTTGAGTTGTTCTGTGGCGAGTTGGCCAAAGCAAGGTGGCCGTGGGAAGATAGCTGCAACGGGTTGACTGTGGCAAGATGGCCTCAGCGAGTTGTCCTAGAGCCCTTGATCCTCTTTCTTGAAGGCAAAATGGCACCATGTTATTCTTTGCTGTCTTTTTTCCAACGTGGGATCAATGTGCTTTCTCTCTTCTTTAGATAAGAATGCATTTTCCCATGCCATCTCACGCTAAGGTACAAAGCTCAAATTAGCACACTGCAATCACATTTTTTACAATTGACGAAGATTGATTTTTTTTCCCCCTCTTTGAAACACACCCTTCGTGATATATACCGTATAAAGAGGTGTCGTTTATTGAATCAAGAAAAAGAAACGATCTGGAAAGAACAAATAACTAACCTACAAATCTGTAGATGCTTGGAAGTTTTGAGGTTGCCAATAAATAAACTTCTCCTATCATCAAAGGCCGCTTAAAGTAGAAATCAAAAATATTTCGAGGTAACCAATGCAAGAATCAGCTTCAGCTTCTATGGTGCTATTTTTTTTCTTTTCATAACATCCGATGTCCTTCCTTCTCTTTCTTTTCTAGTCCATTTCTTCATTTACGACCATGAGTTCATTAGCCAGTATTGCCAAATATCTGCATTCCTGGAGCTGGAATCTCTCCTTTCCCAACAAAACCTCCGGGAAGCCTTTTCAGACTCAGAACTAACTACGGCCAAACAGCGGCATCAGCAAGTTCAGGATTATATACAGGTATTGTGAAGCAGGGAAGAGTGGCGTGGTGGCCTAGAGGTGGAACTCTCCCCTCGCGATCAGGAGGCTGTGAGTTCGATCCTAGATAGCGGTCGATATTTTCTCTCTCTGGGCACAATGAGTAATTAATTGTCTGCTGCAAACTCTGCATCGGTGACAGGAAGGGCATCTGGCCAGTAAATACTCTGCGCCATTCAGTTGCCCCGACTGCACCCCGATGTAAGGGATTCCAGAACGCTGTTCCCTTCCCACCAAAGGGGTCCCTATTTTTCTACTTGCATTTTTATTATGCTTTTGAACTGCTAGGTTGGCAGGAACTGGGACAAGTGACAGGAGTTACTTGTTACCAGCTGGCTTTTTACCAATGCCGCCAATTCCATTTTTATAGCATGTCTGACACCTTAACAACTTTTCCTTTGGCTTTTGGCGGATGTTGCCTTTTGATGTCCTTGTGGTTTCTACTAGAAACCTACGACAGGCAAGATACGGTAGTTGTGTGTTCCTGCAGATCTCTGAACTTCATGTCTGATTCTTTGGGTGTCTCTTTTCCTGGTCAGCAAATGGAAGAGATTTGGCGAGAAATGCGTTGGATGATGGACGCCTTGCAACATGCCCGATACAAGCAACCCTCTTGTGGCCTCCCACTGGTGTGGTTTGTCAAAGAATCGAGCACAGCACAAAATGAGAAAACTCAGTCAACCTCTTCTCATTTAGACTTCCTTCCGTCGCCAACCCCATCTCCTGAAATGAGCCGTAAGCTCAACTCTGGTGAGTGTTTTATTATGTTTTTACAAGGGATCTTGTATGGCTACCAGTTGGATCCCTTTTCTGGTAGGTGTCTTAATGCCTTAAAATTGGCTATTGAAACTTTCCAGAAAAAAATAGGAAAAATCCTCTATCTATCTATCTATCTATCTATCTATCTATCTATCATCTATCTATCATTTATCCATATATATCTGCCTGCCTGCCTGCCTGCCTGCCTGCCTGCCTGCCTGCCTGCCTATCTATCTATCTATCTATCTATCCATCCATCCATCCATCCATCCATCCATCTACCCGTCTATCCACCTATCCAATTCATCTATGTCTGTCTGTCTATCCATCCATCTCGTTCATCTATATCTATCTATATGTCTGTGACTATCCATCCATCCATCTCATTCGTCTATATCTATCTATCTATCTATCTATCTATCTATCTATCTATCTATCATCTATCTATCTATCGTCTATCTATCATCTATATGTCTGTCTTTCTATCTATCTATCTATCTATCTATCTATCTATCTATCTATCTATCTATCATCTCGGACGGATGGAAGACTGAGTCATCCTTGAGCCTAGTGGGATTCGATCTGCCAAATTGCAGCAGGAGTAGCTTGCAGTACTGCACTCTAACCATTGTGCCACCGAGATTCCGGAACATGGTAGAGATACCTGCACATAGTAGAAATGGAGGCTGAAGGGACCTTTGTTTCTTCTCCTTGCAGATTCACATGGGATGTCAGATGAGGAGGGCTCCTCGGAAGTGTTCTTAGCTACTGACAGCGACTACGACTCCAGCAGCGCCCAGAGCCCTCGGGAACTCGACCTGGTGTACTCTTCTTCTTCGGGACTGGAATGCTGCAGGAGAAGAGCCACCCGCCCTTTGAGGGATAACACCCCCGATGTCCTCCAGAGCCACGAGCTCAAGATGCCCACCATGCCTCCTCCTAAGGAGCCTCCGCCTCTCTCAGAGCAATACGACAGTGACTTCGTGCTTCCCAGCCGACAAATTGAGCTGCTGCGCATCACAGAGAAAAGGCAGGCCTACTGCGTCCGGACCAGCAGTCTGGATTTCCCCAAGCCCTTCTGCCACGGGGCCAGGAAATCTTGCCCCGGTTCGGTGGACAGCTCCCCAACCGAGAGCAGGACTGCTGGCCACTGTGGCTCCGTGCCCCCTGGAACGAGGCCCGCTTTCGGCTCCAGCCACGATTGGCACGTGGAGAGCTCGGCTGTATTTCGGACACGTTCTGTAGAGTGGACTCAGACCTTCCAGGAGATGCCTGAGCCAGGACGTGTAGCAAACTGGGGCAGGTTGCCAGGTTCCTTCATTGTACGGGTGTGCGCTCAGTATGAAACGGGGCTCTCCAAAGAAACCAGCGTCAAGGTACCCTTACGTTCCTGGTTCCGCCTGACCAGCATCACGTTGCAATGTTGAGAAGGAAGGAATGCTTGTGGGGGAACTAATGGCTTTTCCCAAGTCTAAGCAGCCCTGGACCTTTTTTTAGTTTTGGGTCTTCTCCCCAGTAAGCCAGAAGGAGCAGAAGTCTCTTAGTTTCATGCCACAGTTTGAACATACATCTAGATCTAGATCAGTGGTGGGATTCAAAAAATTTTACTACCAGTTCTGTGGGCATGGCTTGTGGGCATGGCAGGGTGAAGTTACTGCAAAATCTCCATTCCCTCCCCACTCCTGGGGGAAAATTACAACAAAATCCCCATTACTTCCCCAACCCACTAACCTGCTTTCCAGCTCCATTCTCCTCTGCAGGGCAACCAAAGAAGACCCAGCCAATCAGCTGGGACTCGAGAGGTGGAGAATAGATGGGGTTGGCAGGGCCAGTCACAGGTGGGATTGGCCAGTTCTCTGAACTACTCAAAATTTCCACTACCGGTTCTCCAGAACTGGTTAGAACCTGCTGAATACCACCTCTGGTGTGTCCCCTGCTCCAAACTGGGAGATTTAGATTAGCTACGAAGCAGGAAGTTTCTTGCTTTCTAGCTAGTCTTTAGATCTTTGGCTCTGCTTTTAAGCACAGCCAAACTTTCCTTAGGACTGAAGGTTCCATTATTCAGTGCAGACTCGCGGCAAGCAAATTTGAGAGACCGAGCTAGCTGATGGCAGATAGATAGCTCTCTGAATGAATCTGTGATTCTGTGAGCAACTCAATCTGCCTGCCTGCTCTGCTTGATTTTGGGTAAAAGTTGCTCTTTTTTATAAAAAAATTCAGTATTTATATAAATATTTATAATATTTACATACAAGCCGTGCCCAGCCAGTCACATGACCACCAAGCCACACCCACAAATTAGGCCATGCCCACAGAACCGGTTAGTGGTCCCTGGGATTTAAAATTGTGAGTTTGGTGGTCCCTGAGGTCCAAAAGGTTGGTGACCCCTGGACTAGACATACCCAAATCCTGCAACTACATTTTAGCCTCCGGTCCCCTAATCCTTTTCGTTGCTCTTCTCCGCACTCTTACAAAGCTTCTTGGGAAATGCCCTCATTCTCGCACATCCTTCCTCCTTGTCTCATCTCCCTTCTCTCTCTCTCTTTCTTTTTTGCACAGCTGCCCCTCACTAGCAAGATGTCAGCAGAAGACATGGTGAAAATGGTGGTCCAGGAGACGAACGAGGCCTCACGCAAACTCCTGGGAAACGCCAACGCTCTCTGCTACAGCGAAGAACAGTTGAGCCACTTTGCGTTAGTGTTTGTATCGGAGGACGTGGAACAGTGGCTCCCAAACAATTTCCTTCCCCTCTCGCTCCAAAAGACCTGGCCCAACGGGAGATTCTGTGTCCGAATCAAAGACACCTCCCCTCTCTTGTTTCAGTATGGTCCAGCCACAACAGTATGAGGGAAAGGGCACCAGGAGGAGAACAAAAAATGAAAACAAGGAGCACCCAACTTCCAACGAGCGGAAAGCTCATCACCAATGCTTCCTTCCGAACAGACAATTTCGTGCCAGACGTTGTGGGCCAGAAGCGTATTGGGCAGTGTGTTGCTTTTGTATGTTTGTGTGCGTGCGTGTGTGCGTATGTGTGTGCGTGTGTGTGTATGCGTGTGTGTTTTATTTTACCAAAGAGACAACAAGACCTGATTGTTATGACCTCAGTAAGTGAGGGCGAAACCCAGGAGCCTTTTGGGGAGGGGAGGAAATGAAATTCAATTTTTGATCAGCCGAGGAAAAACACTGTTAGGGATAAAGAAGCAATATGTAATTATACATATATATATATATATATTTTCAGTCGGAACAGTGTAGAAGAGAGAGGAAAGGAGGGGTGCGTCCTTGAAAAGAAATGCTGGGATTACACCAGCGGTTTCTCCAGGAGAGAGAAAGTCCCAGGGCAATCTCACAAATTGACATCCCGTTATCTGTTTCTGTTTCATTGTACCTGGAGGCAGTCGGAAATTGCCCTTAATTCTTTGAACAAATTCTCCTCTTTTTGAACAAAGCAGTTAAAAAGGTGAACAGCTCTAGATGCTCATCTTTTAACTGCTTTGTTCAAATTGTTTAAGGGGACTAACCACTTTAAATTTCTCCTCTTTTTTCTTAATTCCATCCTGGCTATTTTGTGACCTGGAATACTGTGGATGTTCAAAATCTGTGGGAAGCTCAAGTCCTTTCTCTCTCCAAAGTTTCAAGAGATTAGATTTTATCTTTGGGATAAAAAAAAAACCTCTTCTTGGTAGGAAGACTGAATCAACCTTTCATTCCATTAGCACTTCCATTCTTAGAAGGATCCAAGTTGGGCGACCAGCAGGATTGGTTGGTTTCCTGACGTTTGTTTAAAAGCCATGCTTTACTGTAAGACCTTGTGATCCCTTTCCCCGATCTATCTTCTCCTTCTTTCTACTTCTCCATGGATTTTGGAAGGTACACAGATAAACAATGATTGGGAGTCAACTGTAAGGTTGCTTGGATGAGGAATGACTTCACTCTACCTTCTATGATGAACTTGGTTCAGTGTTGGGAAGCAACAGGCATCCTTTTCTATCTCCAAGTGGAAAAGAGGAAACCACTGCCAGGCCAACTAAGTTTTCATCTTTCCTCTAAATACGAGTAGCATCGTACAGGTCAAGTGCAAATAACCAGGAGCATTTCTTGAGTTCAAATCACAGAAGAGTTTATTATTGCACCTATGGTGGTCAGAACTAAATAGATGGTAGATAAGGGTCAACGGAGTTCAAGGGAGAGTGCTCTTATGTTCCTTTGTGGCAATGCAGCGACTCCAAGCTGATGACACTTTTAACCCCACCTTCTAGCTCAGCTCGGTCTCCTACAGAACAGGGGACTTTGCAGAAACTCATGTAGACATTCTATTGGAAGCAGAGAGGAACTTAGCCAAGACCCAGCACAAAGCACAAGCTAGTAAATATTCATTCCCCACCTTCTGCCAGAAAAAGGCACAAAGATACCAAAGCTAAGAAGAAGGTTTCTTTGGGTGGCTACAGTGAAGAGCATACAATCATCTGCAATGACTTTTGATTTGACATCCCTTGTCGACTCCCATGATAGATAGGACAGAATCCAAAGGGACTGCATCTTAAATTGTTCACAGAATTGTGTAAGACCCTTCTGGGAGACCATCCCTAACCTCTTGGACCATGGCTAAGTGTAAGTTCTTAAACAAATAAAACTTCACAACAGCTGTACATTAATGTTTTAGGAGCACATCAGGTTCCAGCTTCCCAAATTGCTATTTATTTTAATAATTCTAAAAGTAGAAACAATCTCCACATTCATCCAGAAGACCCCTGTAGGCCAGGGGTGTTGCTTGCTATAAGACTCCAAAGCATCTTGAAGGAACCATCTGATCTAGAAGGTTAGTATCTCAGAGCCCTTAAAGACTTAAATCAGTTGTGTTAGTCTGCGAGATCTTAAAATTCACATTAGAGAGAGAGAGAGAGAGAGAGAAATGAAATAACAAATTGCAGTGGCGCCGAGCATACTAAAATCTACCGCTTCTATATTGTCCCACTTGGATTCTGTTGAGATGGTTGTTCTGAGTTCATTGTTGGGGGGATGCTGAAGTTGCCCTCAAAGACTTCAGTGACAGGTCCCCAGAACCAACCGTGAAATTATAGGACTTTGACCACAGACATAAAACCCGCTAATATTCTTTCAATTGCATACCATCTCAATGAAGTAAAAGAGGTCCTATGAACAATCTGAAAACGTTCTTCAGTCCAACCGCTGAAGAGATCCAATCTTATGATTTAGTTGAAATGGTTTCATTCTCTACTTTTCATCCCAGCCATGTGGTCCGTTCCCTGTTTTCTGTAGCTGTTTCCCACGATTAGGTCTCCCTGCAGCAGATTCAGAGAAACTCAAGGTCAGAAAAGATGGTCTTAGAAAGTTCTTCCTTCATAGCCATCCTATGGAGTCAGTCAGAACTGAAGAAGCTTCTTGGATGAGAAGCGAAATGTCTTCAAAGAACAACTAAAGTCCAGTTGCCTTTTGAAAAAGAACCAGGAGTAGGATTCAATTTTTTTAACAACCGGTTCTGTGGGCGTGACTTAGTTGGTGGGCATGGCTTGGTGGGCATGTGACTGGCTGAGCGTGGCCTACTCAACATCACTCACATCAAGGCATGCATCTCCTCGCCTGGCCTCTCATGACTGTGGGGATGCTGCAACAGTCATAAGCGTGAAAAATGGTCATAAGTCACCTTTTTCAGTGCCATTGTAACTTTGAATGGTCACTCCACACAAGCAAAGTACCAGCAAAGGAGGGGAAAAAACTCCAGAGACGTTCCTGAAACAGGAAGTCTAGTCCTGCCAAGAATGTAATAAGGGTTAACAGAGAGGCAGTTTCTGTAAGCAACCCCAGAATGTTTCCTTCCTGCCTTCCTTACAGGATTAGGCCAGTAATTTCTTCTAACAACCGGTTCTCCGAACTGCTTAGAATGCTTACAACTGGTTGTAGCGAATAGGTGCAAACCAGTAGAATCCCACCCCTGATTGGAACATCCTATAGATCAGTGGTCCCCAACCTTTCCAGCTTGGTGACCCGGCCTGCCACAGAGTATGCGTGTGTGTGTGAGAGAGAGAGTGGCAGATGCACACATAGCTCCATGTATGCGAGTGGTGGACACACGCCCTCTACTTTTGAGAATGGGGCCCTCCACTCACACAAGTCAAACTTCATATGTGCACACTTGTCCATCTTCCCCGCGGCCCAGTTTCAAACAGGCCACGGCCCGATAGTGTGCCACGGTCTGAGGATTGGGGACCCCTGCAATAGATTGTTTTTTCTAGAACCATTACATATTTTGGACCGTAAACTTCTACTTTCGACCCTTCCCTAACATTTCTCTTGGGGGTGGGAAATCAATGGGAAGAAAGTTCTCCATAAGAACAAAACAGACCTCTCAGTCCCGTAAAAGGTGTTGTCCATGTTGCAGCTTCAGCTACATATCATAATCCAGACTGCATTGTTCCGTTTCAGATTACACGTTAAGGAGAAGAGAGGGTAATATCTTAATTACTACTTAGGGATCTGCACCAGATTCTTATCGTTATGGGAGTCGTCCACTTTAGCAACAAGAGTTAATTTCCAAGGAAGGCGGCCCAGAAAATCTGATCAAGTAAACAGCAATAGGCTGGCTTAAGAACATTCAGGCTAGTGCTAGCAACCTTCTTACTTCGTATTGAGATTATTTTAATTTCTGATTGGGCTCAATACAAGATAAGTAGAGACAGATAGTCCTCAACGACCACAATTTAGCCTAAATTTTCCATTGCCAAGCAAGACGATGGTTACATGAATTTTATGCCCGTTCTTGTCTCTGTTGTTAAGTGGATCACTGCAGTTGTTAAGTTAGTAACCCGACAGTTAAGTAAATCTGGCTTCTTCATTGACTCTGCTTGCCAGAAGTTCGCAAAAGGGGATCATATAACTCTGGGACACTGCGTCCGTCATAAATACGAGCCAGTTGTCAAGCATCCAAATGCAAATCACGTGACCATGGGGATGCTACAAATGGTCGTAAGCGTGAAAAAAGATCACAAGTCACTTTTTCCAGTGCCATTCTAACTTTGAACAGTCGCTCAATGAAACTCTTCTGAGTCGAAGACTACCTGTATATAAATGTCTTAAAGAAAGAATATTGTAGAGAATGGACTCACCTCTATCAAGGTATACTAAGTGATCAGAACTGACTGAGAGGTAAGACTTGGATTATCAGGCAGGAGGATGTTCTTGCTGGAGTATTTCAGCAGATAACAAATTTGAGGAATCATGAAGCATCTCTTCCCGAATTCAGGAACCGTCTATGCAGGCTTGTGGTTTATCTTAATTGTCCCTTAACCATGACTTGATCTCATTTCATTTGATCCACAAACCTCCTCCATGAATTTCCTCCTGTATCTTTTCTTTCTTGGTTTCTGTAGCTCATTTGTGTTTGTCGTGTAGACCAATATTAGTGCCTTTCCCAACATGCAAGGTCTTCGTTTACAGAACTGGGATTTATAGAAAGAACCAGGATCTGGAGGTTGCCAAGTAGGACATCTGCCATGGCTGGGGTTGAGGCTTTGGTATGCAGCCCAAGCCAAGTAGGACATCTTCCATGGCTGGGGTTGAGACTTTGGTGTGCAGCCCAAGCCAAATAGGACATCTTCCATGGCTGAGGTTGAGACTTTGGTGTGCAGCCCAAGCCAAATAGGACATCTTCCATGGCTGGGGTTGAGACTTTGGTGTCCAGCCCAAGCCAAATAGGACATCTTCCATGGCTGGGGTTGAGACTTTGTTGTGCAGCCCAAGCCAAATAGGACATCTTCCATGGCTGGGGTTGAGACTTTGGTATGCAGCCCAAGCCAAATAGGACATCTTCCATGGCTGGGGTTGATCTGCAGCCCAGCCAGTTTCAGACAGCAGCTTAGATATAGAGCAGAACATCTAAGAGCCATTGAGTTCTCCATTTTTCCCTCTTTGATGAGCAATTTCATCAACAGCAATACTATCTCTGCCTGTTGTCCAAGATCAGTTGAAGTATCCATTGGACTATAATATTTGGGAAGACTGCTGACTCAAGAAGAGCTTTCCCATGAAAACAACAAACAAGGATGTTTTAGGGTGGACACAAGGTTGTCTACAGAAAAGATATAATGCCCTATTTTAAAAG